GAATCATTACTCATGTCTTGCTTACAACACACCTACTAATGCATCCCACAAAGCTGTTTGCTTTCTTTTGGCAACAGTGTTAACACTCTTGGCTCATGTTTAATTTGCCGGCCTCTTTTCTCCCCCAGATCCTTGTGGGCAGGACACTTCCGTAGGCTGTCATTTCCCGGTCTGGGGGCGTGCCCCCGGGTGTTCCCTCCCGCGTGGGGTGCTTGGCCCTCCTCCTCCTTGAGCTTCAGCCTGCTCGACTCGGACCAGTTCTCCAGCTTGTCCGGATTGTTTTGAAGTCTCAGCCTGTCCTCCAGAGCACTCACAACCCCTCCCAGCGTGGTCGTGTCCTCATGCTTTGTAAGTGGGATTTCGGAGTGCCATTAGCCAGACACCGGCGAACACCGGCCCTGAGACAGACCCGTGCACAATCCCATTCAGTACCCTTCCAGCTGGACTATGAACCATTGGTAACTGCTCTCTGACTCTGGGTTTCCAGTGGTGTCTCCAGACCAGGGGTATCCAACCTACGGCTCGTGAGCCACATGTGGCTCTTCACCCCTGAAAGTGCAGCTCACGAAGCCTCCCCCCCGGCTCGCCAAGCTGCCCCATGCACCCCTACAAATGGCCCCCAGCTCCCTGGTGCAGCAAAATGGCATCGGCAAGATGGTGTCAGCTGGTGGGAGCCTGATGCGGCCAAAAAGCCTAACCCGTGGATTTTAAAGGGGCAGCATCTTTTTTTTTCCCCCCTGAACAATTCTGGTGCAGCTCTGTGCATTGTTTCCACCGCTGTTTTGGCTCTCTTCGTGGAATGGGTTGGCCACCCCGGTCTAGACTGTGGTTCTCTAATTTGTTCATGAGGTCACGCGCAACAGTGTCAAAAGCTTTCCTAAAACAGAGGCATTTCACGTCTCTTGCTCACCCCGCCCTGCCCCCATCCACAAGGCTGGTGTCACCTCTGCCACCTTTTCAAAGTCGCATTCATGGAACTAATGGGGCCCGGGCGGTTTCCAGACGCAGTAGCACCCACATTTTACCGAGGAGAATGACATCAGACTCTGATTCAGTGGGGAAGAATCTGCTAATGATTTTGATATGTCACTGTTGGCAAGGGCTGGGTCACCCAGTAATAGACACCCAATCATTCTAGTGCTGAATATTCATCCCTCATTTCTTCTAGTGGTAGGAGAACTGGCTCCCCTGTTCCCATTATTTACAGGTCGGTCATTACACTATGACGAGCATGCACTGTGTCCGGCGCTAGCCTTGGATACCTACAGTTTGTGTTTTTCATGCGAGTTTAACTCCTCCCTTGTGTTAGCTCAACCTGTTGTGTGGGGTTCACAAGGCACACCTATGTTGTGCCTTTGCGCCAAATACACAACGTATCAGTTGCTCAAAGGTCAAACAATCCAGGGTGCACACACTGGTGACTTCTATAGGTAACAGATTAAGAAGAGGAGGCCGGAGGCTTTTTTCCCCCCAAAAAAGTTTTTTTTTTCAAATCTTTAGAAGTTTACGGCAACATTTTACAAGTTTCAGAAGGCGGGGAAACGTTTTTATGAATAGAAAACCCTGAGAGAGACCCTCTGGGTAGAGACTTTTGTATGTTTGGCATTTAGACCAGAGAATTTCCTCCAGTGTCGGAAAATCCTGGAGCCAGTTCTACTTTAGTTACACAGGGCCGACTATGAAATACCCAAGAAAACTCCAGGGCCCAGCATCTGATCCATAAGGAAGATATTGGACTCCTGTGGCCATTCTCCGGCTTATTCACACACTAGATTGGTGAGATCTAGTGCAAGCATGTGCACACGAACAGACAAATTACAGCCTCCTTCCCAGAACAGACCTGACCTCAGACCGTGATACAATGCGGAAAGATCTCCCTGAAGAATTAGTACCTGGGGTTAAGTCAAGACAGCTGCCTAGAAAAATATTATTCCAACAATACACAATAGAGCTGGTTACTAAAAAGCTGATGGACCAGTTTTCCATTGGAAATTGCCATTTCATCCCAAGCTACATGTTGTGCTGGGAAGCGTCATAACGCTTCGCAATCGACAAGGCGCGTTTCATTTGGACTTTCTCCTTTCACTTCGTTCCAACCTTCCTGCGTTGACGCCCCGTGTTCTAGAAACACAAGGCTCTGAGACGGAACTGAAACTCTTGGACCAAGCGCTTCTGGACTTCCAGAATGCCAAGGCCTGAGGATTTCGAGTCCACAGCAATGTCCAAGTTCTGAGTTAGGGCAAAACTAGCTTTCCAGAAGCTGGGCTTTCCCGGAGTTGGAAATTCCATTTTCCGACTAACTCCAGTGCACAAAGAAGAAATGTGGCCATGAGGGGGAAAGCTGCAGAAATCCCAGGAGAAGGGAAGATCACAGGGTAGGGGCCGTCAGTCAGTTACAAACTCCATCTGGTCTCCCAATTTCTGCACTGGCAGATTGCAAGCAGGAACCTTTCCTCTGGGTTCATGGCCAATCTGGGAGCCTGATCCGACCCCGATCTCGCTTGTTTACTCCTGGGCACAGCCCAGCGAGGCTGCAAGATGTAGAGAGCAGGATGACTTCTCCCCCTCCAAATAGTTGTTTGCCATCTCCTTAGCAATTGCTTCCTTCTCTCGGTTTCCACTGAAGTGGGAGCGCTTTGGTTGGGAGGCTTAGTGTGGTTTTCCTTGTGCAATTTGCATAGGCTGTGCCCTGGTTTAGCCTGCGATGACCTCTCCCCACCAGCACAGGTCCTCTGCACACGAGGGCCAATTAGGGAGTGCCAGCACTGCAATTAGACACCCACAGCCTATGCCAGCCGACCCGGGCTCCCTGGTTTCATTGCACTGTAGGCGTCAGGCTGTTGTCTGGGTGCTGGGACCCTCCCACCTTGCAGCTTCCTAAAGCCAGGGGCTGCAGCCTGAGGCCAAACGTCCACACTGCCCCTTAGCCAGAGCACCACGAGCCCAAGTCAGCTGGCCAGCTGGGAGTCATAGAATCCTACAATCCTAGAACACGAGGACTGGAAGGGACCTCAAGAGGCATCAAGTCCAGTCCCCTGCCCTCATTGCAGGACCAAGCACCATCTAGACCATCCCTGACAGGTGTCTGTCCAACCTGCTCTGAAATATCTCCAGGGATGGAGAATCCACAACCCCCCGAGGCAGTTTATTCCAGTGCTTACCCACCCTGACAGTTTTTCCTAATGTCCAACCTCAACCTCTCTTGCTGCAGTTTAAGCCTATTACATCAGAAGCCAAAGAGAAAAATTTTTCTCTCTCTTCCTTGTAACACCAGGAGGTACTTGAAAGCCACCGTCATGTCCCCTCTCAGGGTATGTCTACACTGCATGGCTATTTTGGGATACCGGAGGTATCTCACAATAGCTACCCCAATCTACACAAGCCACCTGTTACTTTGAAATATTTTTTGAAATAACGTGCTCGCTATTTTGCCATCCTGGTAAACCTCATTGCATGAGAGTTAAGGGATGGCTCGAAATAGCGCATTATTTCGAAATCCGGTGCTGTGTAGACAGGCCAAATCTGATTCTAAATCAGAGAAGTATTTTGCATAGTGCAATCTGCGTATCTTATTTTGCGTTTAGGGTGCTGTGTAGACACCCCCTCCCCAGTCTTTTCTTTTCGAAACTAAACAAGCCCAGTTCTTTCAGCCTTCCCCCATAGCTCATGTTCTCTAGACCTTTCATCTTTCTTATTGCTCTTCTTGGGACCCTCTCCGATTTCTCCACCCCTTTCCCGAAATGTGGGGTCTCATGACAGTGCAGACAGCCCCTCGATGCCACCTGCTCCGGAGAGGTTCCCCCTGGCATCAGCAGAGTATGCAGGGCCCTGCTGCACCCCGTTTGGTCATGGCCCCTTTCGGGGCACAGCATGGTGTGCGCTTTTCTGTTCCAGGACACACATCCTAGCCAGGATGGGAAGCACTTTGTCACCCTTGTTTCTTTAACTCACACCGAATGTGTGTGTGTCTTGCGCAGGCATTAGGCAACAGCCACACTGAACAGCCAGGGAAATCCCTGGAGGGGCTGAAAGGAGGATCTGGACTGTTTTATGTACTTGGCAACCTTTCCTTTTCAAATAGCCTATGAGTACAGACACCCCCACAAGCTGCTCCTGTCGTTGACAGGTGTATTGTCAGCACAGCCGGAAAGCTACGCTGGCTTTGTGTTCTATGTTCTAGTGCTGGCTGGCTGCTAAGGGACTGTAGAATAATTTAGGGTGACTTACACACGAGTCCTATTGACTTCTGCCCCGACTCCACGAGGTGCTTTTGAAAACCCCGCTTTGTGCAATGACTGTTGTGTTGCCGGGCCAGGAATTCCATGGTAACCGGCTTACCAATAAGAGGGGCAATCAGCGGTTACCCCCCACGGCCCCGAATGCTGGAAGAGTTGCACTGTGGGAAATGCAAATCAAAGCTGTGCCGTTCAGCAATGTATCTTACCCCGGGACAGCCCAAAGCTGCAGCGAAGGCAGCACTGTCCTCGGGGAGGCCCTGCGGTTTGTTTTTACTAGGTATCGATTGGGTTTTTTAATACGGGAAGTGCAAGTGAACATTCCCGCGGCCCATGGAGCGTGGCAGCCCTTCCATCCTCTCTAGTTACAGGGAAAGAAAATAACCGGCAAGTTGCTTCACCACATTACAACACACACCCGCTCCGAGGGAGAGGGAGAGGGAGAGGGGGCAATGGACAGGTTGGCTCTCCCTGCTCCTTTCGTTTCAAAGGAAGCGCAGGCAAGGAGCTGTCTTCTGATTCACTGCCCCGTGGTGCAGCAGAAAACCTGGCACCGTTACCGGACGGAACGTCGTTCAAAGCAGCGGTTTTCGCTCCCGCTGGGATGAGCTGATTACTTGGGCAAATGGTCCAGACTCCCCCTCTCCCCCGCCGTAAGCCAGGCCGGCTCACCTTGTTTCGTAAATCCTTCCAAACTCGCAGCGAGAGCGTGGGCGGAGGTCCAGGGTTCTCTAGAACTTAGAGGAGATTTGTATTTTCTTTCAGGTGGCGTTGGTCCAAACTCAGAAATCAGAGGGTGGATGGAAACCCAAGGAACTGCCATCACCCAAGCCCCTGTGGCATGCAGCCTGTCAGCTGTGGTGGCATCTCCTTCAGCAGGTACTGTCCCCTGGCATTCAACCCCTGGGCAAAGACACACGAGAAAAGTGGTTCTCCTTGGCCTCTGGGGACAGGACAATGGGCCGTGTGGAAGCAGTGAGGATGCAGTGCCAGTGCAGTTTCAGTGCAGTGTGGAAGCAGTGAGGATGCAGTGCCAGTGCAGTTTCAGTGCAGTGTGGAAGCAGTGAGGATGCAGTGCCAGTGCAGTTTCAGTGCAGTGTGGAAGCAGTGAGGATGCAGTGCCAGTGCAGTTTCAGTGCAGTGTGGAAGCAGTGAGGATGCAGTGCCAGTGCAGTTTCAGTGCAGTGTGGAAGCAGTGAGGATGCAGTGCCAGTGCAGTTTCAGTGCAGTGTGGAAGCAGTGAGGATGCAGTGCCAGTGCAGTTTCAGTGCAGTGTGGAAGCAGTGAGGATGCAGTGCCAGTGCAGTTTCAGTGCAGTGTGGAAGCAGTGAGGATGCAGTGCCAGTGCAGTTTCAGTGCAGTGTGGAAGCAGTGAGGATGCAGTGCCAGTGCAGTTTCAGTGCAGTGTGGAAGCAGTGAGGATGCAGTGCCAGTGCAGTTTCAGTGCAGTGTGGAAGCAGTGAGGATGCAGTGCCAGTGCAGTTTCAGTGCAGTGTGGAAGCAGTGAGGATGCAGTGCCAGTGCAGTTTCAGTGCAGTGTGGAAGCAGTGAGGATGCAGTGCCAGTGCAGTTTCAGTGCAGTGTGGAAGCAGTGAGGATGCAGTGCCAGTGCAGTTTCAGTGCAGTGTGGAAGCAGTGAGGATGCAGTGCCAGTGCAGTTTCAGTGCAGTGTGGAAGCAGTGAGGATGCAGTGCCAGTGCAGTTTCAGTGCAGTGTGGAAGCAGTGAGGATGCAGTGCCAGTGCAGTTTCAGTGCAGTGTGGAAGCAGTGAGGATGCAGTGCCAGTGCAGTTTCAGTGCAGTGTGGAAGCAGTGAGGATGCAGTGCCAGTGCAGTTTCAGTGCAGTGTGGAAGCAGTGAGGATGCAGTGCCAGTGCAGTTTCAGTGCAGTGTGGAAGCAGTGAGGATGCAGTGCCAGTGCAGTTTCAGTGCAGTGTGGAAGCAGTGAGGATGCAGTGCCAGTGCAGTTTCAGTGCAGTGTGGAAGCAGTGAGGATGCAGTGCCAGTGCAGTTTCAGTGCAGTGTGGAAGCAGTGAGGATGCAGTGCCAGTGCAGTTTCAGTGCAGTGTGGAAGCAGTGAGGATGCAGTGCCAGTGCAGTTTCAGTGCAGTGTGGAAGCAGTGAGGATGCAGTGCCAGTGCAGTTTCAGTGCAGTGTGGAAGCAGTGAGGATGCAGTGCCAGTGCAGTTTCAGTGCAGTGTGGAAGCAGTGAGGATGCAGTGCCAGTGCAGTTTCAGTGCAGTGTGGAAGCAGTGAGGATGCAGTGCCAGTGCAGTTTCAGTGCAGTGTGGAAGCAGTGAGGATGCAGTGCCAGTGCAGTTTCAGTGCAGTGTGGAAGCAGTGAGGATGCAGTGCCAGTGCAGTTTCAGTGCAGTGTGGAAGCAGTGAGGATGCAGTGCCAGTGCAGTTTCAGTGCAGTGTGGAAGCAGTGAGGATGCAGTGCCAGTGCAGTTTCAGTGCAGTGTGGAAGCAGTGAGGATGCAGTGCCAGTGCAGTTTCAGTGCAGTGTGGAAGCAGTGAGGATGCAGTGCCAGTGCAGTTTCAGTGCAGTGTGGAAGCAGTGAGGATGCAGTGCCAGTGCAGTTTCAGTGCAGTGTGGAAGCAGTGAGGATGCAGTGCCAGTGCAGTTTCAGTGCAGTGTGGAAGCAGTGAGGATGCAGTGCCAGTGCAGTTTCAGTGCAGTGTGGAAGCAGTGAGGATGCAGTGCCAGTGCAGTTTCAGTGCAGTGTGGAAGCAGTGAGGATGCAGTGCCAGTGCAGTTTCAGTGCAGTGTGGAAGCAGTGAGGATGCAGTGCCAGTGCAGTTTCAGTGCAGTGTGGAAGCAGTGAGGATGCAGTGCCAGTGCAGTTTCAGTGCAGTGTGGAAGCAGTGAGGATGCAGTGCCAGTGCAGTTTCAGTGCAGTGTGGAAGCAGTGAGGATGCAGTGCCAGTGCAGTTTCAGTGCAGTGTGGAAGCAGTGAGGATGCAGTGCCAGTGCAGTTTCAGTGCAGTGTGGAAGCAGTGAGGATGCAGTGCCAGTGCAGTTTCAGTGCAGTGTGGAAGCAGTGAGGATGCAGTGCCAGTGCAGTTTCAGTGCAGTGTGGAAGCAGTGAGGATGCAGTGCCAGTGCAGTTTCAGTGCAGTGTGGAAGCAGTGAGGATGCAGTGCCAGTGCAGTTTCAGTGCAGTGTGGAAGCAGTGAGGATGCAGTGCCAGTGCAGTTTCAGTGCAGTGTGGAAGCAGTGAGGATGCAGTGCCAGTGCAGTTTCAGTGCAGTGTGGAAGCAGTGAGGATGCAGTGCCAGTGCAGTTTCAGTGCAGTGTGGAAGCAGTGAGGATGCAGTGCCAGTGCAGTTTCAGTGCAGTGTGGAAGCAGTGAGGATGCAGTGCCAGTGCAGTTTCAGTGCAGTGTGGAAGCAGTGAGGATGCAGTGCCAGTGCAGTTTCAGTGCAGTGTGGAAGCAGTGAGGATGCAGTGCCAGTGCAGTTTCAGTGCAGTGTGGAAGCAGTGAGGATGCAGTGCCAGTGCAGTTTCAGTGCAGTGTGGAAGCAGTGAGGATGCAGTGCCAGTGCAGTTTCAGTGCAGTGTGGAAGCAGTGAGGATGCAGTGCCAGTGCAGTTTCAGTGCAGTGTGGAAGCAGTGAGGATGCAGTGCCAGTGCAGTTTCAGTGCAGTGTGGAAGCAGTGAGGATGCAGTGCCAGTGCAGTTTCAGTGCAGTGTGGAAGCAGTGAGGATGCAGTGCCAGTGCAGTTTCAGTGCAGTGTGGAAGCAGTGAGGATGCAGTGCCAGTGCAGTTTCAGTGCAGTGTGGAAGCAGTGAGGATGCAGTGCCAGTGCAGTTTCAGTGCAGTGTGGAAGCAGTGAGGATGCAGTGCCAGTGCAGTTTCAGTGCAGTGTGGAAGCAGTGAGGATGCAGTGCCAGTGCAGTTTCAGTGCAGTGTGGAAGCAGTGAGGATGCAGTGCCAGTGCAGTTTCAGTGCAGTGTGGAAGCAGTGAGGATGCAGTGCCAGTGCAGTTTCAGTGCAGTGTGGAAGCAGTGAGGATGCAGTGCCAGTGCAGTTTCAGTGCAGTGTGGAAGCAGTGAGGATGCAGTGCCAGTGCAGTTTCAGTGCAGTGTGGAAGCAGTGAGGATGCAGTGCCAGTGCAGTTTCAGTGCAGTGTGGAAGCAGTGAGGATGCAGTGCCAGTGCAGTTTCAGTGCAGTGTGGAAGCAGTGAGGATGCAGTGCCAGTGCAGTTTCAGTGCAGTGTGGAAGCAGTGAGGATGCAGTGCCAGTGCAGTTTCAGTGCAGTGTGGAAGCAGTGAGGATGCAGTGCCAGTGCAGTTTCAGTGCAGTGTGGAAGCAGTGAGGATGCAGTGCCAGTGCAGTTTCAGTGCAGTGTGGAAGCAGTGAGGATGCAGTGCCAGTGCAGTTTCAGTGCAGTGTGGAAGCAGTGAGGATGCAGTGCCAGTGCAGTTTCAGTGCAGTGTGGAAGCAGTGAGGATGCAGTGCCAGTGCAGTTTCAGTGCAGTGTGGAAGCAGTGAGGATGCAGTGCCAGTGCAGTTTCAGTGCAGTGTGGAAGCAGTGAGGATGCAGTGCCAGTGCAGTTTCAGTGCAGTGTGGAAGCAGTGAGGATGCAGTGCCAGTGCAGTTTCAGTGCAGTGTGGAAGCAGTGAGGATGCAGTGCCAGTGCAGTTTCAGTGCAGTGTGGAAGCAGTGAGGATGCAGTGCCAGTGCAGTTTCAGTGCAGTGTGGAAGCAGTGAGGATGCAGTGCCAGTGCAGTTTCAGTGCAGTGTGGAAGCAGTGAGGATGCAGTGCCAGTGCAGTTTCAGTGCAGTGTGGAAGCAGTGAGGATGCAGTGCCAGTGCAGTTTCAGTGCAGTGTGGAAGCAGTGAGGATGCAGTGCCAGTGCAGTTTCAGTGCAGTGTGGAAGCAGTGAGGATGCAGTGCCAGTGCAGTTTCAGTGCAGTGTGGAAGCAGTGAGGATGCAGTGCCAGTGCAGTTTCAGTGCAGTGTGGAAGCAGTGAGGATGCAGTGCCAGTGCAGTTTCAGTGCAGTGTGGAAGCAGTGAGGATGCAGTGCCAGTGCAGTTTCAGTGCAGTGTGGAAGCAGTGAGGATGCAGTGCCAGTGCAGTTTCAGTGCAGTGTGGAAGCAGTGAGGATGCAGTGCCAGTGCAGTTTCAGTGCAGTGTGGAAGCAGTGAGGATGCAGTGCCAGTGCAGTTTCAGTGCAGTGTGGAAGCAGTGAGGATGCAGTGCCAGTGCAGTTTCAGTGCAGTGTGGAAGCAGTGAGGATGCAGTGCCAGTGCAGTTTCAGTGCAGTGTGGAAGCAGTGAGGATGCAGTGCCAGTGCAGTTTCAGTGCAGTGTGGAAGCAGTGAGGATGCAGTGCCAGTGCAGTTTCAGTGCAGTGTGGAAGCAGTGAGGATGCAGTGCCAGTGCAGTTTCAGTGCAGTGTGGAAGCAGTGAGGATGCAGTGCCAGTGCAGTTTCAGTGCAGTGTGGAAGCAGTGAGGATGCAGTGCCAGTGCAGTTTCAGTGCAGTGTGGAAGCAGTGAGGATGCAGTGCCAGTGCAGTTTCAGTGCAGTGTGGAAGCAGTGAGGATGCAGTGCCAGTGCAGTTTCAGTGCAGTGTGGAAGCAGTGAGGATGCAGTGCCAGTGCAGTTTCAGTGCAGTGTGGAAGCAGTGAGGATGCAGTGCCAGTGCAGTTTCAGTGCAGTGTGGAAGCAGTGAGGATGCAGTGCCAGTGCAGTTTCAGTGCAGTGTGGAAGCAGTGAGGATGCAGTGCCAGTGCAGTTTCAGTGCAGTGTGGAAGCAGTGAGGATGCAGTGCCAGTGCAGTTTCAGTGCAGTGTGGAAGCAGTGAGGATGCAGTGCCAGTGCAGTTTCAGTGCAGTGTGGAAGCAGTGAGGATGCAGTGCCAGTGCAGTTTCAGTGCAGTGTGGAAGCAGTGAGGATGCAGTGCCAGTGCAGTTTCAGTGCAGTGTGGAAGCAGTGAGGATGCAGTGCCAGTGCAGTTTCAGTGCAGTGTGGAAGCAGTGAGGATGCAGTGCCAGTGCAGTTTCAGTGCAGTGTGGAAGCAGTGAGGATGCAGTGCCAGTGCAGTTTCAGTGCAGTGTGGAAGCAGTGAGGATGCAGTGCCAGTGCAGTTTCAGTGCAGTGTGGAAGCAGTGAGGATGCAGTGCCAGTGCAGTTTCAGTGCAGTGTGGAAGCAGTGAGGATGCAGTGCCAGTGCAGTTTCAGTGCAGTGTGGAAGCAGTGAGGATGCAGTGCCAGTGCAGTTTCAGTGCAGTGTGGAAGCAGTGAGGATGCAGTGCCAGTGCAGTTTCAGTGCAGTGTGGAAGCAGTGAGGATGCAGTGCCAGTGCAGTTTCAGTGCAGTGTGGAAGCAGTGAGGATGCAGTGCCAGTGCAGTTTCAGTGCAGTGTGGAAGCAGTGAGGATGCAGTGCCAGTGCAGTTTCAGTGCAGTGTGGAAGCAGTGAGGATGCAGTGCCAGTGCAGTTTCAGTGCAGTGTGGAAGCAGTGAGGATGCAGTGCCAGTGCAGTTTCAGTGCAGTGTGGAAGCAGTGAGGATGCAGTGCCAGTGCAGTTTCAGTGCAGTGTGGAAGCAGTGAGGATGCAGTGCCAGTGCAGTTTCAGTGCAGTGTGGAAGCAGTGAGGATGCAGTGCCAGTGCAGTTTCAGTGCAGTGTGGAAGCAGTGAGGATGCAGTGCCAGTGCAGTTTCAGTGCAGTGTGGAAGCAGTGAGGATGCAGTGCCAGTGCAGTTTCAGTGCAGTGTGGAAGCAGTGAGGATGCAGTGCCAGTGCAGTTTCAGTGCAGTGTGGAAGCAGTGAGGATGCAGTGCCAGTGCAGTTTCAGTGCAGTGTGGAAGCAGTGAGGATGCAGTGCCAGTGCAGTTTCAGTGCAGTGTGGAAGCAGTGAGGATGCAGTGCCAGTGCAGTTTCAGTGCAGTGTGGAAGCAGTGAGGATGCAGTGCCAGTGCAGTTTCAGTGCAGTGTGGAAGCAGTGAGGATGCAGTGCCAGTGCAGTTTCAGTGCAGTGTGGAAGCAGTGAGGATGCAGTGCCAGTGCAGTTTCAGTGCAGTGTGGAAGCAGTGAGGATGCAGTGCCAGTGCAGTTTCAGTGCAGTGTGGAAGCAGTGAGGATGCAGTGCCAGTGCAGTTTCAGTGCAGTGTGGAAGCAGTGAGGATGCAGTGCCAGTGCAGTTTCAGTGCAGTGTGGAAGCAGTGAGGATGCAGTGCCAGTGCAGTTTCAGTGCAGTGTGGAAGCAGTGAGGATGCAGTGCCAGTGCAGTTTCAGTGCAGTGTGGAAGCAGTGAGGATGCAGTGCCAGTGCAGTTTCAGTGCAGTGTGGAAGCAGTGAGGATGCAGTGCCAGTGCAGTTTCAGTGCAGTGTGGAAGCAGTGAGGATGCAGTGCCAGTGCAGTTTCAGTGCAGTGTGGAAGCAGTGAGGATGCAGTGCCAGTGCAGTTTCAGTGCAGTGTGGAAGCAGTGAGGATGCAGTGCCAGTGCAGTTTCAGTGCAGTGTGGATGCAGTGCCAGTGCAGTGTGGAAGCAGTGAGGATGCAGTGCCAGTGCAGTGGGGCTGCAGTGTGGAAGCAGTGAGGATGCAGTGCCAATGCAGTGAGCAGGCAGGAAAAGCGATGTCACGGGCGCACAAGGACAGAGGATGCTTTTCGCAGTCGCTCAAACTAGCCCAGAAGATCTCGTGGTCCATTATGATTTGTCCCTCTCTCCCCCAAAGGACTTCACGTTATCGAAGGGGCAAGATGCCCATGCTGGGCAGAATGACGAGAACACCGACCGCGGGAACTGGTCAAGCAAAACGGACTATCTCCTGTCCATGATTGGCTACGCGGTGGGGCTGGGCAACATCTGGAGATTCCCTTACCTGACCTACCAGAATGGAGGAGGTAGGTGTTGCTCTTTCTGCGCCCGCAGCGCCTTGTAACACAGTGGAGGGCGCGAGCGCTTTGTGAGCTGCCAGAACGAGAAGTGGCGCCTGGAATTACACTCGTGCTTCTGACGTGCCACCTGGGCTGCCCACAAGTGCTGTACGGATGGAGAGCCTTAGCACCCACCAGCGCTGTATGGATGGAGAGCCTTAGCACCCACCAGCGCTGTATGGATGGAGAGCCTTAGCACCCACCAGCGCTGTATGCGTGCTACTTGCTAGACAGTTGTCTCAAGCCAGAATCGCATCCCAAGCACCCGTGAGCCTCGGAGCAGTCGCCAGTCCGGTTGGAACAAATCGCAGCTGGCAGCTGCCGTTAGAATAAGCGAAACCCCCGGAAAAGGGGGGTGGGCACCTCTCTAGTTAGAAGTAAATCGGGGTACTAGGCATGGAGGGAAAATGAGAAGCGTCAGTTCCAAAGTGATGGGACCCGAGAGGTTATAACTTGTTCAGACGTCTGCTCTGAGCCAGGGCCAATGCTCTGCCCACCTCATCTCCTGCCCGGGGTGGGTAACCAACCAGACAACAAGTCCCTGTAACTCCTTAAGCAAACCCCATGGCTGCTTATGTGTTTCCGCACCTGCCTCGGTGCTTGGCTGGCCTGGGGCGTGCAGGTGCCCCTGTTTTGCTAGTGTCAGCGCGACGGGGCCAGTCATCGAGAAAGGCGCCTTGGGCAAGGAGGCGTGGCAAGACGGGCTTTAACGCTGAACTCCTCAGACTAAGGAACGCCGAGAAAGGGAACAGTGATGTGACCTGAAATCAATCACCCCATTTCTGCTGTTGTTGAAACAACAACCACTGAGAGCCTGTGCCGGTTGCTGTGGACGGCGGTTTCTGGTGTAAATGTGGAAAGATGCGTTTACACGTCATAATGTGGCACTCCACTTTAGAAACCGCCCCACGCTAAATGAAGCTCAATGCTCGTTTATTTTCAGGGGCCTATTTTAAAGCAGCATCTCTTCTTTGCCCCCCTAAAGAAAAACTGAGGGCTTGTCTTCTCTACACAGTGTAGTGATCGATCCTCCAGCAGTCAATTCATCACATCTACTTAGACATGATAAATCAACCTCCGAGCGCTCTCCCATTGACTCCAGTACTCCCCCAGGAGGAGAAGGGTAACTGGAATCGACGGGAGACCAACCTTACTGCTGGAAGACAATCCCAACCAATCCCGCCAAACTTACTGCTGGAATACACCACGATAAGTTTGTTGACTTCAGTGACGTTGTATAGGTTGATTGACGGGGGGAAGGGGGTGTAGCCTAAGCATAAGACTAGGAATAAAAGTCCCTAATCTATTTACCACATTCCTGTGGGTACCATGGCAGCCCCTTCACAGAATCACGTGGTTGGTTTCATCTCATGACTCGCTTAGCTGAATGCAGAGGCAGGGTAGACAAACTCTGTCCTGGTCTAACTATGTAGCACTTTAAAGACTAACAAGATGGTTTAATACGTGATGAGCTTTCGTGGGCCAGAATCACTTCTTCAGGAAGGTCTGGCCCACGAAAGCTCATCACCTATTAAACCATCTTGTTAGTCTTTAAAGTGCTACATAGGCTGATCTTGCTAAAACAAAAGGAAAAACTAACACGGCTACCTCTCTATTCCTATTCTGTCCTGGTCCGTGAGTGATGGCAGTCATCAATTCCATTTCAGGGGGAAAGCGGGTATTTAAGCTAAACGCCTTAGGCTCCAGCCCAACTCCCATTTAAAGTCAATGAGTGTTGCAAATGCAACACAACCAGAGTATGTAATTTTACATGTAGGCTGAACCTCTCTAGTCCGGCACCCTTGAATTTGCCGGACCACGGGAGGTCAATGTTGTCAAGCAGCATCACCAACGCTTTCACTGCCTGCTGGGCTCTGAGAAGACACTGAGGGATGAATTAGAGCTAAATCACAGCACAGAACATTGAGAGCCAGGCCTGGTGGCTGTAAACAAACCTTATGGGATCATGGGAAACTTGGCCACCCGTGAACTAAAAATCATGCCGGAGCAAAGATGTTGCCAGACCAGAGAGTGCCAGACTACAGAGGTTCAACCTGTATGTACATTTAAGATACAGATGTCTGGCTTTCTGGGCATACATATTTTATTGACGTGTGTTGGGCCTGGTTGATTTACTCACAAGTGCCAAAGATGACTGCTAATCCAAAATGAAGGCTAATAACATCTGTGCACCACACTTCCCGTGTATTTCAGTAAATGCGACAGAAGAGCCACCAGAGGAATATATAAAACATCTTTCCTTGGGAGTATTTTTTGCATCTTTCTGTCTGCAAGGCCAGGTGCCTTCTGCAAGGCACATGATGTATCTGCTTGACTTCCAACATGTGAGCAGTTTGCTTACATTCAGTGGAGCTGCTTACAGGCTTACAGTTAAGCCAGTGCTTGAATATCTTGCTGAACTGGGGGGGGAGGGGGACTAGTTTATTTGGAACCTCTTTGTGAATGAAAAGAAAAACTGGATGAACCATTGCACGTGCACAAATATCAGATCACTTACCAGGCACTCACTACCTGGGGTGCTGACCCTAAGTCTAAATCCTGAATATGATAAAAAATGCTTCAAGCCAGGGAATGCGGCAGCCTCCCCCCATCCCCGTACCCTGAATTTCAGCCTCTGTGTTGCTGGTTGAAGGAAGAAATTAGGAAAACATTCACCCAGGTGCACAGCTGAAGCTGGGAATCAGAAAGGAGTCAGCCAACCATACGAAACAAATTAGCAACGTTTCCATGGTCTGGCTACTCTAACAGGGAGTTGCAAATCACCATTAAGGACAAAGAAGAAAGAGTTCATTTCGGCAGTATATTAAAGGGCACACGCTACCATAGAATGCAAACAAAGCCAAGCGTGTGCACAGCCAAACCTGGTCTCCGACTTCCTGGAAGCCTCATGTGGTGGGAGGGGTTTTACCCTTCTTTTCCCAAAAGGAAAGGTGTGCCCTAGAAATTGGCCGGTTTGAGGTTCTGGAGCCGAGCAGGCAGACTCAGAGTGCTTGGTGCCTGTGGTGATACAGAACTCTGCATTGGGAGGCCTCCCTGCATAGGAAATATGAGGCCAATTTTTGATAATTCAGCCCTTATCTTGGGAGGCGTGAAAATCCCCGGATGCACTTTTGTGACTATGCCGATGAGCAGGTGCAGCTTGTGCAATGTGGAAATCTACGTACCTGACTTGCGAGTGCAGTAGGATGCACGTTTTACTTTGCTTCCATGTTTTAAATGAAAATTAACGTTTATTCGTACTTGGTTTTGTGCGTTATTTTAATTTTAAAATTACAAAATCGAAATCTTGGGCTAACCGACATTGCGATGCTCCTGTATGCAATGTCTGAAAGTAAAAAGCAGGTGGGGAATGAGATGATTGAACAACTTTCATCAATATTATGCATATAGATCTATTCCCTTTTCTTCAAGATATTCCGGTCCCAGACTTTCAACCCTGCGGTGGGGCTTTAGTACAGGGCCGTGAATCTTGGCCTTTTCCATAAGTTACTGACAGAGGGCATCTGTCCGTCCTTCTGGTCTTTTTCTACTAAACTTATTCCCAGTTGTAGCCATAGGCACAATCCATAGTCATGCCTGAAGACATATCCGGAATCTATGTGACACAAGCAAATATTTGTGGAGGGACAAGGTAACCAGGCATTTGGAAGACGCTATCACTGTGAAAGGAGTAAAAACATGAGATCTTTATTTTACGAAAGACCCATGCATGTTACTAACGTTACCTTTAATGGGACCTGGATCAGACCTCAGACGAGTAACAGCCCCTATTATCTGCAAACACTGTTGGGTTTTCTAGAACGTAGCCCTTTAAACACCGATTTGTACATTCTGGGATAGTTGCCTAGACGGCTGTACAAAAAGGAGTGGGATTGTGCAGGTATAATAGGTTTTTCTGTTTTCCACAGGTGCCTTTCTAATCCCTTACACGGTGATGTTGGCTTTGGCTGGGTTGCCTTTATTTTTTTTGGAATGTTCCCTGGGGCAGTTTGCCAGTCTGGGGCCAATTTCGGTGTGGAGAATGTTGCCAATTTTACAAGGTCAGTATCATTAGGGTTTTCCCTGTTTAGATCTTCCTTTGCTGCTGCTCATAGTCAAAGGCAGATCAGTGATTTCCCCATAATGCTTCTGGCTAATGTCATACATTAGACGGCACTGGCCACAGAGTGGCATGCCGTTTCGTGGCTGGCCAAACTAAGGGGGCTAGTATGTACCGTGGGAAGGACACTGAATTCGTGGCATTATATGTAATCCACCAGGAGCAGCTGTTTCCAGAGCATCAGTGTAACTGGCTCCTCTCCTCACGTGATCTGCTAAACCGGGGTCTGCTTGGGAGGTGCAGATCCTGCCTTTAGTTGCTCACATTGGCACATGCATCAAAGATGTTGTTCCCCTTTGGCAGGTCAGCCGGAGCATCTAGATGCAGGGTTGGGAGGTAATGCTAAGGCCCCCATGGGAATCAGGATTAGGGGGCAAATTCTGCCCTAATTCGCATCCATTCTGCTTCCACAAGGATGGAAGGGCGTCTCTCGGCCTGCCTGCTCCCCGTCCACCCAGCTGAATAATAGAATCCTAGAGCACTAGAACGGGAAGGGATCTTGAGAGGTCATCGAGTCCAATCCCCTGCCCTCACAGCAGGACCCAGCACCATCTAGACCATCCCTGACAAGTGCCTGTCTAACCTGCTCATAAATATCTCCAGTGATGGAAAATCCACAACCCCCCTGAGCAATTTATTCCAGTGTTCCATCACCCTGGCAGGTAGGAAGTTTTTCCTAATGTCCAACCACAACCTCCCTTGCTGCAGTTTAAGCCCATTGCTGCTTGTCCCATCCTCAGAGGCCCAGGAGAACAATTTTTCTCCCTCCTCCTTATGACACCCTTTCAGATACATGAAAACTGCCATCATCTCCCCTCTCAGTCTTCCCTTTTCTAAGATAAACAAGCCCAATTCTTTCATTCTTCCTTCATAGCTCACGTTCTCTAGACCTTTCATCATTCTTGTTGCTCTTCTCTGGACCTGCTCCAATGTCTCCACATTTTTCCTGAAATGTGGTGCCCAGTGTCACACTGTTGACTCATATTTAACTTGTGGTCCACTATAACCCTAGATCCCTTTCTGCCATGCTCCTTCCTATGTGTGAAACTGATTGTTCCTTCCTAAGTGGAAGATATTTGCATTTGTCCTTATTAAACTTCATCCTGTTTACCTCAGACCATTTCCCCAGTTTGTCCAGATCATTTTGAATTATGACCCTTCCTCCAAAGCAGTTGCAACACCTCCCAGCTTGGTATCCTCTGCAAACTTAATAAGCGTCCTCTCTATGCCTATATCTAAATCGTTGATGAAGATATTGAATAGAACCGGTCCCAGAACAGACTCACTTGTTATGCCCTTCTAGCATGATTGTGAACTGTTAATAGCTACTCTCTGAGTACGGTTATCCAGCCAGTTATGCACCCACCTTATAGTAGCCCCATCTAAGTTGTATTTGCCTAGTTTATTGATAAGAATATAATGCGAGACCGTATCAAATGCCTTACTAAAGTCTAGGTGTACCACGTCCACTGCATCTCCCTTATCCACAAGACTTGTTATCCTATCAAAGAAAGCGATCAGATTGGTTTGACATGATTTATTCTTTCCAAATCCATGCTGGCTGTTCCCTATCACCTTATTATCTTCCAGAATGCAGATAGGAATAAGGAAATAACATGTTTAATTGTGTGTGATGCTTTCTTTGCCTTTACTGATCTTTCATATGCAAATTTGATGCTGTTGGCCCAAACACTTGAACTGGAGGGCCCATTATAAAACCACTTCCTGTACATTCCATACCCCTTGGACATCAAAAGCGAAGTATGGGACGCTTTCAGCCCGCTCCATTGGCCTCATTAGCACTGGCACTATAATTGACAGGTAGTCCCCCCCCCATCTCGCTTCTTATTCTGTTTTAAATTCTGAGGTTCCCCCCTTTTTTCTCCACTCAAGCTCATCTGAAGAAGCGGATTTTGCCCACAAAAGCTCACGATACTAGAGATATGTTTGTTAGTGACACAGGATTGCTCATTGTTTTTCCAGGTACAGAGTAAGGGTGTGTCTAGACTACCTAGTTTTGTCGACAAAAGTGGAATTTTGTCAACAAAACAATAACAGCGTCTACACTACCGCGGAGTTCTGTCGACATAACGTCGACAGAACTCCGCGGTTTTGTCGACGCTGGTAAACCTCATTTTATGAGGCAAAACACCTTCTGTCGACAGAGTTCTGTCGACAGAAGGTGTTATTGCCTGTAACGTTGCGTCCAGACTACGGAGTTCTGTCGACAAAGCAGCTTGCTTTGTCGACAGAACTCAATGTGTCTGGACGCAAATTGTCGACGGAAGTTTTGTCGACAGTATCTGTCGACAAAACTTCCGTCGACAAAACGCGGTAGTCTAGACGTACCCTAACATGGCTACCCCTCTGAGACTTTTACTGATCCGGTGTGTCAGTAAACCACAAAAGGGGATTGTGTCCAGGCATTTAGGTTTCCTGACTCGTTTCTGCCTCAAAACTTACCCAGAATAACAAGGCCCAGCGCACAAGCTTCCACATTCTGCACAAGATGAAAAGTAGGATAAATCCACCCCGAAGACAGTTGGGTCTATGGAGAAAGCCAGGACTGAGTGTGTGGAAGCACGTACGTCACATATATTCCCCAAGCTCCCTGGAAAAGATTTGGTAGCTTGACCTCAAACTCGCCAGGTTCCTTTTGACCAAGGAAAGCAGCAACGTCTTTGCAAGCCACTGGTTTAAGGCTGCCTGTCCGTCACTGCCATGGCTCGCAATCCCAGTGAGATCTCTGCCACCCGGGTGCTCAGTCCCAGTTTGGTATAATTTTTCTTGCCTTTATTTCGAGAGACACACGGATAAATTCCTCTGTCCTTCAGGGATGCAGAAAATCTGAAACTCCTCCCCCCTTCACAAATGGCTCTGGTTTTCTTACTCCAATCCTGGATCCAAAACTGGATCCAGTCCCTAAAGTTGTGACTTCAGCCCATCTCTATGTTTGTTGCTGTCCAGGGTAAAAGGACTGAAGATCTCTCTTCCCATGGGCATGCCTTTCCACTTACCTATCACAGCTATTTCCCACCTGGGTTTGCCTACACTTCTCTTTTAGAGATGCGACCCCCTTTCCTCCTCCTGTCTGGTTTTCACCAGTCCTTCCTGGCATGGTTTCCCTTAGCAATTCATCGCTCCTTCTGCTGGCTACTGGGAGCAAGGAGGTACCTCTGGATCCTGCTAGCTGGGATCCGATTTCATGCCCTCACTGAGGGTGCAGCTACACCAGGGATCTCCAACCCTTTTAGGCACAAGATCACTTTTTTGAAGTGAAGTGCAATCCAGGATCTACCTCACACCCAAATACCCTGGCCCCGCCTCCTTTGTGCTCCTTCTCCAAGGCTCCGCCCCTGCTCACTCTGTCCTCCCCCATCCTTCTTCCCTTTCATCAAGCAGGGGCAGAGGGTTGGGGTGCAGACTCTGGTCTTGAGTTAAGGGATTTGGAGTTGTTCTGATCTGAGCCTGGGGCAGGGAGTTGGGGTGTAGGAGGGGTTCAGGGGACAGGTTCTGTAGGGAAGTTTGGGTCTGGGGGGGCTCAGGGTAGGCAGGGGTGTGGGGTGCAGGAGGGGGTTTATGACTGGGGTAGGGGTTCAGGATATAGGCTCTAGCTGGATACTATTTACCACAGGTGGTGCAGCGGGGCTAAGGCAGGCTCCCCCCTGGCCTGGCCCTGCACCGCTCTCAAAAGCAGCCAGCAAACTCCATCCCAAGTCCTGTTGTGCCCCCCTCCATCCTGTGGAGATAACATACAGGGTGGGAGAGGGGGCACCCTGACATCAGCACCCTCCTCTTTCTTCCCTGCCCTGCCCAGCAAGTGGGGGAAGGCAGGGGCAGCTCTAAGGCAAAGGACAGGACCTGCACAGCAGTGGGGGAAGGGGCAGCTGAAGTGCCGGCACTTGGTAGCCTCTTGGCCAAACCAGTCAGGATCCCCTGTCAGAGGCTCCAAGATCGACCAGTCGATCCCGATCGACTGGATGGTGACCACTGAGCTACACTGTACCATTCCTTTGAGATAACTAGCGTTATTTTGAAATAACAGCCGGCTTATTCCGAAATCTGTAAACCTCATCCTATGAGGAATAACGCCTCTTCCGAAATAGCTATTTTGAAATAAGGGCCATTCTAAGTTATTCCTCCCGGTGCTTGCTGGGGCTTTAAATCGAGATAGCATGTCTGTACTAGGGAAGCCGGCCTCAGACTCATTTTGAGACTTCCCTGCAGTGTGGACATACTATTCTGGAACGTGAATATATTGGTGTCCTCGATTTCTGTCTCTTCTCTAGCCTGATGCCAATTGACCAGGCTGCCACAAATCATTTTTAAACATTACCGAGTTGTACCACTTTGCCTTTGATGCTCCCGTTCCGCCCTCCCTCCTGGGTTCTCCTCACGAGAGCTTTGCTCGCACCAAGAGTGTCTGATCCACCCTGAGCTTTGCTCTTCAGTCTTCTGGTTCTGCCATATGTTTGTTGGGTGGATTTCTGATGTCACACCGGCCTTCTCCGCTTCCTCCCTGGACACGTGCGGAGCGCCTCTCACATCTGGCGGGGAACGCAGAGTGAGCTGAAATGAGCCAGGCTCCATGTTCACGTGCAGAGAGTTGATATATGCCCAGGGTCTGCTCTGCTTGGGGTACAGACCCATTGGGGCAGGCACTAGGCAATCCGGCGGGCCATACGGTCATTTCAAGGCAGTGTGGCGGAGGCTCAGAGCAGTGCACCATTCAGGAATGTGGGGGCGCACGTTTTCTTTCAACGGTGTGTGGGTTGGATGCTGGAGCTGCTTCTCTCTTTTCCAGGCGTGGGATTCACGGCGGTCATCATCACCACCTTGGTTGCCATCTACTACAACGTCATCATCGCCTACGCCCTCTACTATTTATTTGCCTCCTTCCAGAGCGTCCTGCCGTGGTCGGACTGCTTCTCCTGGGCGGACGCCAGCTGCAGCAAGACCCCTCTAGGTACGGTACGTCTCCGGGCCGGCGCGCTCCGGGGAGCTCCGTGGCTTCCGTGGCCCAGACAGACCCACGGCACAGTGCAGTAGTGGGCTAGGGCGCTGGCCAGGGTGCTGCCTGGACACCTGACCTTGACAATCAGAGGCCCCTCGGCCTGATCTTTCTCCCTGCCTCTAGCCCTGGCCATGTGATCAGGGCTAAAGGGGGCTCCTTAGCCTGAGACCCAAGGACGTAGCCCCTAAAGCCCCCACGTGCTGCGCTCCTGGCTGGCTCTGCCTGGGGGGGAGTAGGGGGTAGGGCTCCGTGTGCTGCACGCGCTGCCCTTTCTCCTCCTCCCCATCACCGGGAGCACAGGGCAGCTCGCTCCCCGTGTGTTCGTCCGCAGGCTTCTTCCGCCGCT